TATGCCAAACTGTATTTTTGAAAAATAAATAATTAGATAAGCCTGTTGACACTATTCCCTGAATTTATTCACCTTTATATCCTTACACAGTGCATCAATTTAAACATTATTGTATATGATATAATGATTTAATGAATGTTGTACTTTATAGAGCTATAGTAATCAATCAAAGGCGTTGAAATTGCTTAATCATATATGCACTAAACTTTGATACACTTAAAGAACTGTTAACCAATGATAGACATAAATTCACATTCTCACTCTTTAACTGCTTCTTCTAGTTTATTGTTGAATATTTGTGCCTTTCAGAATAATATTATAATTGCACATTGTTAACTGTAAATCAGATATCCAGCGGTGCTGACAGTTGTTTGTAAAAGCCTTCAGCAGCTTCTGCAGATACTTTTCTCAGGCTCCATACAGCCTGGAACAATTATGTGTGTGTGTGTGTGTGTGTGTGTGTGTGTGTGTGTGTGTGTGTGTGTGTGTGTGTGGTGTTGGGTGTGGTGTGTGTGTGTGTGTGTGTGTGTGTGTGTGTGTGTGTGTGTGTGTGTGTGTGTGTTTATCCTCAAACAAAACTAGTTTGTACAACGTGTCGACGGGCCACTTAGAAGTACACCCATGCCTGAGAGAGAAGATCAAACCCTGTTTATTGTCTCAACTCAACACATCTGGCTCATCGATGCATGAAGAGGGCCTGAATGTCAATCTGACCTGGAGTAGGACAAGTCCGTAAAGTACTGCTCATAAAGCTCAATCTTGTTGGCACATGATAAACAAATCCAACCTGTACAAGGGTCAGGATGTGTCAAGATTGATATCAACTTAGAGCGCCTCTCTTCTTCATTATCCGAATGATGGATCACACTGTTTGGATTACATTTTAAGAGTAGAAGTGCAAATAAATGGTTTTTGAAAAAGTGACAGACATGTCTGATTCTACACATCAACTGGCAAACCTTTTCATACAATGATGGCCTTGTGTTTTTTTCTCACGATATTAATCACAAGCCAAAAAGAGTTTGTATTGGCTCTTGAACAGTGGATTTTCTTCCCTGAAAACCTAAATAATGGTCTTTGGGATTTAAAATGATAACAAATTACATAGGAAACTCATAGAAAATGTGCATGAGAAGAAGCTGGTCATCGACTGTTTCAGGCAGGGCTGGAAGGCCAAGAGGAAGAACAGTACAGATGAAAAATAGCCTCTTGGCTAACTCTGGTACATTCACAGAAATGTTGATTAATGTGTTTTTTTAAAAGCCCATCGAGGTTGGCAGTGGGGAGGCTTTGCAGGCCAATCACTGCCAAAGCCCTTAGTGCACAGGGCATCCCAGGTGCAAAGAGGAGAGCCAACTGAGACAGCAGAGAGACCCTCAAGATGGCTCTGGATCAGGAGAGGAGGTCCAGGGGGAGGAGTTAAGGCCACATGAAAACAAGTCATAGTGTGATAAACCATGGTTCACCAAGGCGAGGGTGCATGATATTAAAAGATCGGAAACACCCGATGACCCCTGGTAACATCTCTCAAGATGTGTCCAGGAGCATCATAATGTGTTTTTTACTAATCTGGTCGGGTCATTTGTGTGTAATAAGCCACAAAGTAACATATAACGGCTTTTATGAGGAATGGATTCAGTCCAGAAGAAGTCAATTGCTTTCATGTTGCCTCATACAGCTAATGGAATGAGAGGGCATGCATGTCGAAGGAATTTAATCGAGTTGAGGAGCTTGCATAATGAAAATGTTTTTCATAAACGACTCTGTTTGTTGAAAATATCCAGTTGTATATATTCGAGGCATACTGTGAATTAGGGTTGCAAAATTCCGGGAATTTTCAAAGATGGAAACTTTCCACGGGAATTAATGGGAATTTATGGGAATAAACTGGGCATTTTCAAAATTGAAAGTTGGCTCTTCATAGGGAACTTAAATATAGTTGGGGAAAGTATATTTGAGCATAATCTTGACTAAAACAAACAGATGCCGTTCAAGTACACTTGAATATCCATGCCATAGCACACTGCTTACTGCATGGCTATTGAGACCACACAAAGGTTCGCAACAGGCTCACACCTGTGAGAGTGGAAAAACTGGTTGGCATTCGGGCAAACCTAAGGCTCTTTGAGCCGGACACAGAGCCATCATCAACAAGGCTGGACAGTGACACTGAAGAGGAAGACTTAGATACCTCATTCACACCAACGGTGTTTCAGGGCCGGTTCGGAGCTGGAGCTTGAAAAGCACCGGGTTTTCCTCTTCAGACCGCAGCGGAGCAGCCTCTTAGCTCCGGAATCCGGTTCGTTTTAAGCACCAAAAAATTGTCCGGCCAGAGCAAAAGCACCACATACGTCACGCTTACGTCGGGCAGGGGCAGGGGCAGGGGCGGGATCAACTCCTGAACAACAACAAAAAGCCGGCGTTTTATCCAGTTTGTACACAACAATGGAGAAACTTAACAAGCAGCAGTGGTCCACTGAAGAGACCAGCTACCTACTGGGAATCTGGTCTTCCGAAGAGGTACAGAGGAAGCTGGAGCACAATCGGCCGTTGTTGTTGTTGTTGTTGTCGGTATCAGCTGTGAGGGGTTTCCGCGCGGTTTGGCTTTTATGAAGCAGGCACGCAAACGGTTACGTCATGACGCAAACGATGACGCAATGACGCAGCACCAGTCGAACTCTGGGCAGTGTGAAAAGAGCCGGAGCTAAACCGAAGAACCGGTTCTGAACCTGAAAAGCTCTAGCACGGAGCTTGAACCGGAGTTGCGTTGGTGTGAATGAGGAGAAACGCGGATTTTGGGTTCTTAGCTTGAAAAAAAAAAAAAGAGGAGGCGGAGCCTGATCAGAATTCTACCGGAGATCAAGTTAAATTCTGCTG